CAATCTTACATGCCTATATCTGGTAATCTGTACAACTATTTGAACGGTAACAATGTGTAATATAATAACCACTGTTAATTTCCTATCATCTTGTTTTGAAACTTTGTTTCATATTGGTTTTAAGTTCTCTTTAAAATTAAGGCAATTACCTAGGCTCAGATATTTTATCATAATAACAAAACATTAATATACCTACTGTGCTTTATGGCTAGTGGATTGTTAGCCTTTTCCTTTTGTGAAACCAGAAAATGTTTCCACACATCTTACTAAGCATACATCTGTTCATATGTGATCATCAGAAATTATACATACTCAGTCATCAATGACTATAAAGACAACAAATTAAGAAAGCCATTTACCCAAGATTTTGTGGAGATTTATTTTGATAAGTAGATTTGGCCATTTTACTAATCGTAACTTTTTTTTTCCACACTAGGGAGTAGGTTAAAGCATATAAATGGAAACAGCACTATCTGAATGCAGATCACTGGATTTGTGCTTTTAAATCTTCAGGGAGTTCCAGTTATGGAGCCAAATACAATCAAGACTTCAACTATGACTGAACAAGGGGCCAGGTGTGGTGGTTCACAGCTATAATCACAGTCCTCAGGAGCCTGAAGGAATATCCTTGCAATGTTGAGACCAGGGTGGGCTATAAAGTGAGCTCAAGGCCAGCCTGGGTTGCATAACAAGAGCTTGGCTCAAAAAGGAAAAACAAAAACAAACATACTATAACGGAACAAGACTACTAAAATACAAAGCAAATCCATAGGCAGAGCTAAAGTTTTATAAAGTTGTCTCTAAATATCTTAAATCACTCAAAACTCTGGAAATATCAGTAAAAGATTTTCCCTTCCCACTTTGGCTATGCTCTACAAAATTCTAGGGGCTAGATGGTCTCCAAATCTGTTGTATTCTCTTTGTTGAGGCAAAAGGAATCTAAACCTAAACCCTTGATTGACTATCTTGACCCTGGAGGAGATGTCATCTTTTGTTGTATTCTGGATGACCCCATACATTCAGGAATGAACCCTCTAAACCCCAAGCCTCAAGGCTAGGTAGGGAATGACAGATAGAGCCAGTCTGACATCAAGATGCATTTCATCTTGATGTCAGAAAGGAGATCAGTGGTATATTTCTAAGTTCAGAAATAATCAGGTCAGGAGACTTTCAAACTTCATACAAGGCTTCTGCCCATGAGTTATAAAATAAAATGGGTTTTACCCACAGGGTTCTGATCAACTGAAGGAGGAAAATGAAGCATCCATAGAGGGAGTTTGTAAGTCTTTATCAGAATTATTTCCCCTTGTAATAGAGCCAAATTATAACTAGAAGGTAGACATAAAATTGCTGTTTCTTTTGGAAATAGGTAGATCTAGACTTTGGAAACACCAATGAAATAAAGAGCCCATCATTGAGAGTGGGTTTTGAGAAACTGATCCTAACTTGAAAGCTTTAATTAATTGTCCTACATCAGGCTGGAAACAGATTAATGCTTTTGTTCTTGGCACCACTACCTTTATAAAAAATACATGGGTGGAAAATGTGAAGAAATTAAAGAGAATGATGAATGCACTCACATTTAAACAGAAAGAGGACAGAAGAGGAACCTTTCCAAATATCACAAGGGAGAACTTCATCTCCTTCCCATTTAGAATGTGCTGATTATATTTCCTGCTCATTTGCTCAACTATGTTTACACTGTAGTTTGCACTGAGCCATAACACAAATCAATCAGGGATAATGTTATAAGTTTACTGATGGTCCCTCCAAGCTAGATAATTGTTTTTCCCAGTTTTTATAACTAATATAACAGTATGATCCAGTGCTGTATGCTGAGGTATTTTTCTTCATGTAATTTACTTTTAGAACAGTTTTAGGCTCACACAACACTTACTAAAAATACAGGGTTCCTACACATTTTCCTTCACTCAACTCTCTCATCTCTCCACTACCAATATCCCCCAGTGCCTTTGTTCCACTGAATGAATGAGTGCTAACATGCTATTTTCATCTAAATCCTGCCTTCACACTAGGGCTCACTGCTAATGTTGCATATTTTAATGGTTTGGACAAATTTGCAATATTATATATCTACAACATTTTTTAAAGAAGATAAAAAAACAGTAAAAAAAATTGGAAATAATACAAAATTTCATTAAACAAAATGATAGAAATTCAACAATAGCTGTTACATAGCATATTGTTGTTTTCAAATTAGTTGTTCAGATTACTACATATAAGCATGTAAAACTGATCAAAAAATTAGAAAAAAGAAAAAAATGAGCATTAGCTGTTCCTTTCAATAGACTAGTACAAATCAGCAGTAAAATTGCCCAAGATATCCTGTGTCTATAGTGAAAGGGAAAGAAACTTCAAAGGAAAAGAACAACTGGAATGAGGGAAAGGAGAAAAGAAGGAAGGAAGGAAGGAAAAATATATATCTACATTATTATATGGTATAGTTTCACCACTGTAAAATCCTTACTGCTCAGGCCATTGACCTCTCTTATGCTCTAACCACTAGCAACCAATTAATTATTTTCATAATTTTGCCAGTCCCAAATGGAATGTATTACAATTATACAGCATGTACCTCTTTTAGATTGGCTTTTTTCAGTTAGTAGTATGTGGTTGTATCTTTTCATGGGTTGATAGTACATTCCTTTTTAATTCAGCAAATGCTCCTTTGCTCACCTGCCAGTTCATCTATTGAAGGACATTTTGTTTGCTTTCCACTTTTGCCAGCTATGAACAAGTCAAATATATATATATATATATATATATATATATATATATAGAGAGAGAGAGAGAGAGAGAGAGAGAGAGATATGCAGGTTCTTTCTAGATGTTTTCAACTATTTTGAGTACAACTGCTGACTTGATGGATGGAAGTATTTAGTTGTTAAAGAAACTTTCAAAATGTCTTCTGAAGCATCATTT